TCATAGGTTATGCCACTATCAACCTTTGACCTATATGTGGGATACGTTGGTCCAAACAGTATAGATGACAGCCATTCCTTTACCAGCTTCCTAGAGGTCATAGTTATGTTACCATTAACCTTTGACCTATATGTTAATATTTCAGATCTGTTTCATCCTGTTGTCTCTTCTCTTCATCTATGACATCTTCTTTGTCTTCATCACACCATTGTTTACTAAGGTAAGATTGGAACAAAGAATGATACAGTCTCTTTTCAGACCTGCCAACTGATTAAGCTTATTTTACATTAAACAGGATATGCATATATGGAAATGTCTTCATGGAAGAAACATAGTTATGCATGTTATCCTCTGGGATATGAAAGAACAATCACTTGACTACACAGGTGTAAACATGCAGCAGTTGCAGATTAGACGTGACTCTATGCATGTGATTATTTTTGTTGTTTTGTAACTAGCAGGCTATGGAATTCGAAATTGAATATGCATAGCCTGTCATTTCATTTGCGGTCATTATGAAATGGTTGAGCCTTCTGTACATTATTTCTTTTCAATTACTCCTTGTGTTTTTGAACTTTGTAAATAGGATGGTACGAGTGTTATGGTCAAAGCTGCTACTGGAGGTAGTGGGGCTACAGAACAGGTTAGTCTGGGTGGTTGTACCTCATGTTTATTCATGAACTCACTTGTCTCTTATTGGCTGGTCCATCATGTTTACTTTATTTGAAACTTATTCTTGAAGCCAGTGTTTAATCATTGGCTAGTCCATCATATTTGCCTCATAAGCATTTCCATATTCACAGTCAAGCATATGTCTAAATAATCTTCTGTTTACATATTCATAAACTGCTGTTTTTATTGGATAAGCCATGAGCCGCATTTAGTCGCTTTTTCCCATTGGTCAAAGTTCAGACAAATATGTATTGATGATTTCTTTAATAAGGTGCTAATTTGTATACTTGGTGTGCTTGCCCTGACCCAATGTTGGTTATTGCCCTGCACCAACAACAAGAGGTCGTGGGTTTAAATCCCTCTCAAGTTTGCTGATAGTTTAATTCATGAGCCTTCAAAAACACCGAGTACATAGTGCTTACAAATACACATTGTTGCAGGGCAAAACACAATACAAATTTCAGCATACTGATAAATTTGCCTTTTTCATAACTCCCCCCTTTTAAAAATTGAATACTCAGAATATGAAAGTCACTTTTAGTAGAAATTACAATCAGACGCGTACTTCAGTTGGTAAAATCCAGGCATGGTCTTGTTTCCTTGTACTCATTAGATTCCAGTGCTTCTGCAGGTGCCACGTTTGTCACATTCTTCTGGCCAAGTTTGCCAGTTATTCTCCATGTTAGGATTTGGTGACATACTTGTGCCAGGTATGTATAGTCCATGTGTCATTGTCATTACAAAACCCAACATGATAACAATGAACGTGGTAGATATTTTACCAAATGGAATCATTTCACTATACTGTCATGGTTCAACCCACACCATACTGGCCCAGACACGTCCTATACAGTAAAATCTTGATAACTCAGAGTCTGTTATTTCGAAACTCCCCTTAACTTAAAGAATAATTAATTCCCGCCAAAAGAATAGGCTTTTATGCACAAAAACATATCCGTAACTCAAACTGCTCATGTTGCCGGATTCGTTTACCTCGAAGTTTTTGTGTAGCAGATCCAAAAGAAACCGCCGCCAAAATACTTCCAGAAAGTGTAAACAGAACGCGGATCTAAATTATGAACCATTTTTGACACGTACACTTTGTCTTTTCACTCTGAAACACTTGCAAGCGCGCTACAATGATGATTGATCTAGACACGTAAGCCACATCGTGACCGCAAAATCCGATTTGCAGGGATTGGCCCAATTGTTACCATGGGCCCATTGTAGCCAGTGCATTGGCAGGCCAACTGATGGCTCTTTGCGGTGGCTGCGGCAGTTCATTTTAGATCTTTGTGTATGCCACACACGCCACACCTACGAAAGTTAAGTCTGGCCTAATGGTCTGGCCCAAGTGCTTGCCCTCGCCCATGTGATGGCTGCCCATAGAGCAACAAACCACAGCATGCTCATGTGCAGTGGGCCAACCACTTGACTGCAACGCAGAGCTTTTGCGTAGCCAAATCTCACTCCCAAAAAGTAAACAAAAGTTTGAAAATAAAGAACGAAGAACAAAAAATAAAAACAGACACCAATAGCATTTTTGTTCATATAAAGTTTTATTGAAGCGCAAAAAGGTACGCCCTCATGTGATGAGGTGCGGTGTAGTTTCAGAAATGGGACCACCACTATGCGTCACACATGCACAACGCAAAAGAAAGATTTGCCACACAAAGGTTCACAGTTTAAATGGTTTACAGTACATGTAATGTGTTATTTATCAGCCGATTGACAACAAAAATCCTCCACAAAAATGTCTTTCTATGAACAAAAACTTGTGGCATCAAAGTATAAAATAACCACAATGCCATTTCAGAAGTCATTGTAGGGAGATTTATGGTAACTGTGCATCAACGTATAGGTACATGTTATGATACACATCGTAATAATGACTTCACTTAACAAAAGAAATTGGGCCTTTTTTTTAACTCGAATCTTGGATAACTCGAATTTTTTGTCCATTTCCCAGAGATTCGAGGTATCGAGATTTTACTGTAATTATAGTATTTTTCACCTTTGTCACAGTTAGTGCTCTATTGCAATATCTGAGACCTGATGTAATGGTGCTTGATCTGATAAAAATAAAACTTGAGGCATTGCAATCATTGCTAGATTGTTTACTTAGTTCATTTTGTTTTTACATGATTAACCTTTATTCTTGGTTTCTGTGTCAGGGTTACTCGTCGGTTACTGTTGCTCCTTTGACTTCAAAACTCACTCCCGCATCAAAGCTTACTACATTGCATCCTGTGTTGGTAAGAATTTAGTCGGATTTATGAATCATAACTGTTATATACATGTGGGCATATTTAATAGGTACCTTGCAGGTGTCTGTTTGACCATGAGCATTTTTTCAGATGTCTGTCCTACACACTACCAGCGATACCGTGCACGATATGGGGCTGATGGGTACCCCCCCACATGTCCAATCCCTATACACACTCTAGACTATTGTTACCTAATGCATCCCCCCTAGAAGTCTGTAAAGAATTCCTGAGATTCCAATCAAACAATGACCAACACAAAGGTGGGGGGGGTTCTCTCCGCCCATATCTTGCATCATATGCGACCAGCAGCATATTTGTTGTGTTCTTAGCGATGCCAGTGTATTCAATTGACATTACCATAGCCTTTCATTTCCTACGAGTGTACTCATTGTGGCAGAATGCTGTACACCTGTGACTACCAGTATACTCATAGTTGGTAGTCAGCGTATTAGAAAATAACAGTCACTCCCTTTTGCCCTTATAGTGGAATAAAAATATTTTCTTTTAATAGCTTTTGAAGTTATGAAACATTTTCTTTCATGTCAATGTTTAGATATTTGGATACATGCATAACATATGTATGTTTTCTCCCCCAGCCTATGGTATAGGACTCATCCTGACCTTTGTTGCCCTGGTTGTGATGCAGACAGGGCAACCAGCTTTGCTTTACTTGGTCCCCTGCACAGTCCTGATAACATTGGCTCAAGCCACCATACGCCGACAGCTGTCTGACTTATGGCATGCAAGACAATCGGTGAATGATCTCCATCAACTTTGACTTAATAACGTATGCTTACCCAAGAAATCTTTGCTCTGCATGTTGTTTGTTTACTTTGTTTTCTCTCTACTGCTTCACGTGGAATAACCTTACAGTAGTAGTACCTTCTGTACCGGACTAGTTTCTAAGAAGGCTTTCATCTAAAATGCCAGTTCTTAAGAAAACACTGGGGGGTGAGTGGGACTGGGTGTCAGAATTTGAAATTTAATGTGAGACATTTTATTCTAATAGTTGACATGTAGTTGAAACCTTAAAGAATAGGATGTAGAGTATGTAGGGTAATGAAAAATTCACGTGTCTCAGCTATTATTATGGTGTTCTGTTACTATCTTCCTTCAAACTGAGACTATCATTGTCTCATCTTTTTCTTCAAACCAAGGGTCACCTGTGAAAGATGGTTGATATCTTTGAATATCTCGATTTTTAAAATATATTCGAAAGTTTGTTTTCAGTATCCAAAACACCCAATTAAGAATTCTTAGCAAGTAGCAGAATAATTCTTAAAAATCATACCATTTTTTGTTTGCAATGAAGCGATCACACACTCGTACTGGAACTGAAGAGAGCACCCCAGGAAACTCCACAGAGCCTACATCCAACACCAGTAATTGCTCCAGAGCTCTAGACACTCCACCCAATGGAACACTCACCCATGATACACCCCCTGACCCACAGGAGGAGCCCCCAACACCAACCCCATCATCTCAGATGGGTCAAGATCAAGATGGAGAGTCAGATGATATTACAGTGGAGACGCAGCCTCTTCTACCGTTGGCTAGCATGCCGGTAACTGAAATCAAATAGAAACTTGGGAATAGACAGCAAAAAGTAACTGAGTACATCTTGGCCCAGAAATGATGGATCATCAGATACTGGCTCAAAAATAACTCAACGAAAGTCATCAGAATGTGTATTAGAATCATACTATGATGACACAGTGGAGACTGTACTGTTAAGGGGGCTCCAGTCTATTTCTGGTCTGTGCCCTCCTCAATCCTACAAAATCCTACAAAATTACATGAATGTGGAAGGATCTAGGACGGGGTAATGGGTGAGAATAATGTTATTTACAAGCAACAGTAGGTACTTAGACCCCAGATCAGTTGGGGAGGGGGGGTTGATTCTCAAGGACTCCGACAGCAGGTTAAGTCTTGAAGATGTTCTGAAGGCTTGTTCTGGGCACATATACTCCTCCATTGTACTTTAAATATCCCCATACAACCTTTTAAAATTAAAGTTTTGCCTGTCACAAGTTAACTGCTACAAGAAGCAGAATACATGTACAGTATACAGAATGTCTAACATACACAGGACTTGCATTATGATAACTCTACTCAGCAGAAATATTGCTGCTTTCCCGTTTTCAGTGTGTGGACACTGATTACTATACGCTGTAGAAATGTTTGTAAAGATGGCTCTACCTTGTTTTATAATCATGCACACCTGTCAGTTCTCAATCATTATACCAATTCATGTACTTAAGTGATTTTGTTTTAGCTTAAAGGCTTCAAGAGTAAATACTTCTATTTTGTTTTTTGTTACCATGTTTGGTAATGTTTATCTTGGTTAATGTTACTTGTTGAAGTTATAGATAACTCACAAGGTGTTGAAATTGTATTGGGTTGTAGTGTCAGAACTGAGGATGGCATGGGCTTGATGATGGAATTAGTGAAATTACATGTCGGGTGTATGATTTAAACATCACATATTCTTGGGTTTCAGCGACTTTTATACATTTACATGTATTATAGCTTTGGCTTTGTTTGTTACCTACATTGACATAACTTAAAATAATGGTACTATACATTTCACTTTCCAAATTGCACAAACAGGCTTGTCCATTGCATTCGGGATATTTGCGTCAGACTTGAAAGTGGCTTTTGTGTATTTTAATATTCAAACTTTCCAAACTTGGCATGTTCTAAGCATAGAAATGATGTTTTACATGTTTTCAAATTGTGGTTCTAGTGTCACCTTCATAAATTAATGTAAATAAAATTACAGAGAACTGTAATACAAAACTGCTGCAAACTGCTTGCTGACTACCTGTCATGTCTGACATAGAATGGAATAGAAAGTTTGAAGCAGTGGCCCACAGGAGTATCTAGTCATTTGGAGTTGACTGTAGATCTGTGGCCATTGAAACACTTCTTGAGAGTGTTCTCTCTCCGACATACTGAACACTGCACACCCTGCAAGAGATATTAAATGACATTAGAAGAGCTACAAGTGATAGTGCCTTTGGTTCTGTGGGTGGTACCAGAGGAGTGGCCAGAGAATGTATCTGATTCCAGGACATGGTTCTGGCAAACAACACATTTGTTAGATTCACACTTGAGGGTGCTTTACTGGGAGGGGGGGAAGGTACGTATCCATAGGGGCACCTCTGCCCGAACGATAAGGTCCCCTAGGTTGCGGGGATGCCTGTAGGCCACAGACGGGTTGTCTAAGATGGCACTGGCAAGGTGGTCTGAAGTGTGGAGGATATGATGAGTGTCGTTGATAATTTTGTGGAGGGGAGGAATACGCGGGTAAAAAGTGGTGACCAAGGGAACCCTGGAGATGGTTTCTTTACACTGGGTCTTCTCCTTTGTGCAAGACCTCTTGGGACAGAGTGGGCCCTATTGATAGAGCATTGAACCTGGTGATAGCTGTGTCTCTTTGCAGTCAAATGCCTCTTCAGTTCCTGCGTTTGACGGGAGAAATCTGAATCATTAGAACAAATGCATCTCAGTCTAAGTGCTTGGCTGTGTGCAATACCAGTCTTACAGTGTCTAGGGTGACAGCTGGATGAGTGAAGATACTGATGTGTATCTGTTGGCTTGGAATACAGGTCAGTAGTCGCAAGGTTGTTCTTCCGGATGCTGACATCGAGAAATTTTACTTCATGGAGGGAGTATTCCAAAGTGAATATAATTGTCCTGTGGATCTGAAAGAATTGATATGGTCTATGAAGATGTCCAGACCGCCACTGTCACTGGTCCAGATGAAAAATACATCATCAATGTATCTCCACCAGATCCGAGGGCGGCAAGGTGCTGAAGTAAGCATGCGCTCTTCAAGCCTACCCATGAAGAGGCAAGCAAAGGAGGGAGCCATGTACCAGTAGATAATGTTTGCCCATGAAGGAGATATTGTTCTTGGTTAGTACAAATCTCGTAAGTGCCGCGACATCACTGATGGGGGGAGTTGTGTGTCTGCTCTTCTCAAGGGCAGAGGCACAAATACCTTCTTCAAGGGGAATGTTAGTATATAGGAAAGAAACATAAATGATCCCAATGATGGCTGTGCTGGCAATCTGGTTCTTGATGTTTTACAGCTTTCATAAGAACTCTGACATGTTGTGGATATACTGGTATGACTGGATCTGTGGAACAAAGGGTTTGAGAAATGTGTCAATGAACAAAGATGTGAGTGGGAGCTAGATCTATGTCCAGAAATGATGTACCTCCCTGGCTTTCCTGCCTGCCTTGTGGATCTTGGGAAGTACGTAAAAGCTAGCAGTTCTACAATCAATGGGGTGTAGAAACTTATGAACTTTCTTAGAGTTGGTCACGTGAATGCATATTATCCAATACCTGCTGACACTGTTGTGAGAATGTTCATGTGGGGCAGAATCAAGGGGGATATAGTTAGTATGAGTGTTAAGTTGGTGATGGGCTTCATCAATGTATTGCTGTCGGTTCATAATTACCACAGCTGAACCTTTATCTGCCGGCTTGATGATGTCAGTGCGAGAGCATAGGGAGTTGAGTGCTGAAAGCTCATCCCTGGAGAGATACTATGAGGACTGTGACGAAAATGATCAGGGGCATTCACTTGTGAATGAACAGCCTGTGCATAGGTCTCAAGGGCCGGTACACGATTCTTAGGGGGTACCCGGGTGCTTTTGACACAGAAGAGCTCCTGGTTGCACGGAGCATAGTAAAAAAAATTTCTCAAAGTCGTATCCTGCAGATAGCTAGTATTCAGTGAGATCTTGGTTGAGTTCTACTCGGTTCAATGTGGGGGAGTGGGAATTCAGAAATTCAGACCCATGGAGAGAAGTTTGTGTTCAGCGTCGGTTATAGGTGAAGAGGAAAGGTTGACTACAGTGTCGGGGGTTGTGGGTGGTGAGGGCTTGGGCTTAGGATGCCTGAAACATTACGCCCCTGTTGTTATGTGCTGCTAAAAAGCAATCATTTCTTTTGTAATGTGATGTTTTCTCCATTCTTTAGGAAAAACCTGAAGTCAAAGTCCTGCTTAGCTACTTATTGGTACATTTTCTTTGTACACTTATTTTTTGAGAAATTTTTTAGATATACCACTGGCAGGTTTCTGGACTGAATGAATTACTGGTGCTTATCTCGACCAACTGCGAAGATCTTCGTCATCTGTTTGAACACTTTGAACGGACAGGAATTCCTGAATGGATGAAAAAGACAAGGGTTAAACCAGAAATACATGTATCCTGTGTGGTGTTTGTCTCTTGCCAGGACACAAGTTGGCCATGCATAGCTGAGGATGTAACAGTACATACCACGGCAAATCCAGAGGCCAAATTTTTGGGTCATGCTAAGAGAACTGGGAGGGCAAAAAGGAGAAATACCTGTGTGTAAGGATTTGTGGCATTTTTAAGGGGTAAGGTGAAATGTTGGGGCTTTTTTTAATGCTTTGGAAATTTCTCATTTGTCAGCAAACAAAAGTTTTACTCCTTTGGACGCCATGGCTACGCTTTTCTCATTTGTCAGTAAACAGAAGTTTTACTACTTTGTGGGACCATGCCCCCCCATCTGTCAGTGGTACTTGTTTCATAGTTGTAAGGGCAGACAACATTGTGGGGCCTCTTGCAAGTCCTCACAACTTGGTCCAAACTTTCTAAACATTTAACATGATTCTAGTCAAGACACATGAGATTTGCGAATATGGAAATCATTTGGTCCACATTCTTCAGTGATTTTCAGGAATTTTTGTGCGCTCTCCGGTTGTATGTTACCCTTCAAACAGGCTATGATTCTGCTCTCAACGAATATTAAGTCCACCTGTAAAGTTCTATGTATCACTCGTGTACATGCACAGTTAGTCATTTCCGGACACTAAATGTACCAAGTTTGTTTGTATTCTTCATGGGAACATTGTCATTTCCTTCCATTGAAGAATCATTAAATGTTATGCGCAGGTGCCTTTCTGTACTTTGTAGTTGTGTTTGAGGGTGAAACTATCGGTACCACCATTTCTTTCATCGGTGCGTGATACGTGTTTGGCTCCAAAATGGGGTTAAAAGGGGGTACTAGATGTCTTTTCTTGCATTTGCATTTTTTGGTGGTTTTTTTTTGGTGGCTCAAAGGGGGGGTTGAACCCCAAACCCTCATACATGTCAGTCTGCCTTATTTATGACATAATTTCACCGTTGATTTCCATTTTCTAATTTAAACAGCAAGTTTAAGGTTGAGAGCTGGCTGAGTCCTGTTCATTCCTTACCACAGGATGGCAGACCAGCTATGAGAACGGCCCCTGTCAGTTTGGCAAAATCAAGCTTTTGAACTTCAATTTCATGAATCAAGCAGAACACTAACTTCCCCACGTACCATTGGTAACAGATGTGGGAAAATTTGGTAGATGCAAAAGTTTGAGGACTGAAAGAAAATTTGCTCTCGGTTAGATTTCAGGAGGCACTTGGTCACTTTGTGGTAGCAGTGACTATTTGATTGTTCAGTTGCCACCTCATAACATTACAAGGACACTTCAGGGTTGCTTCAGGTACATGCACATGTAGTTTCTTTGTGGTTTTCGAGCAACATACGTTGGGCAAGGGCAAGACCTGTTATATAACATCAGACAAATGCCATGCAATTTCCATGCAATGTGAGAATTCCTACTCACACAATAAGTTACAAGTCATGCATTCTCATTTGGTTACAAAATCTGTCTGAACAATTCTGAAAAACTGACACGGTTGCAGCCAGACTAAAACTTTTGTTAGGGGGAGGGGGGTCTTGGCAACACAGGTCAGCAGCATCCCTGGCATCCCTGGTGCACTTTTACACTAACTGATCGCACCAGGCGCAAATTAAGCAGCTGGTCAGAAACAAGTTTCTGAACAAAACTGCTCTGTCCAAGCAAAACAACCTTTTTTAAAGATACTTAATATCTTCACTTGACTTAAAAAAAACACCTTATAGTTTTTTTGGGGGGGCAGGGGTGCCATGCCCTCCCCCAATCAAACCTTGGGGAAACTGACACCAGACACACTTAATAATACATTTTATGGAATAAGAATTGTTTTTACCCAGATCCATCATTTATTCTTCATTCCCATTCATGAAGACAGACTTTAAAGGTTTGTCTCTTTTGAGCAAAATAAAATTCGACTCCAGTGCACAGAAAGAAAAGTCACATTTTTTCCACCCACAATGTTTTCAAATTCTTCAGTGACAATGACTAAATCACTGACCAAAAAGCATCTTCAATACATGCCAAAATATCTGTAGGTGCAAACATTCCCAATTTAGCATGATCATGATTCTACATTTATTTAACAATGTCTTTGAAAAGGTACTAATTATGTGAAAAATTTACAATGTACATGATTCTAGATTACATAAAGACATTCAGTAGAAAAGTGTAGACAATTCAAGAGGATGAAATCACAAAAATAAGACTATTCAGAAGTGTGTATTTCTCTAGCAAATTTGTAGAGCTTCAAAACCTACAAGACATGAGAAACAAATGTCCATGGCATTTTCAGAGATGCACATTTTGACTGCTGCCTTAACATTTCAGAATATCAACCATATCACACTGAACTCAATAACTGACTTGCATGATTCATGTCCGTTCAGGATTGCCTGAAATTAAATAAAAATCAAATTGAAAATTATCACCAGTTGACATGACGTACAAATAATTCAAGTTCAATGTACTTTTTACATGGAATGTACTTAAACTTGAAAGATAAAATAAATCCACTTTTAATACAATTCACAACAAAAGAGGTTGCATTAAAATCAACTTTCTGTTGAATCGTGTTTAAAAGAGACCCAA